CAAATTTACTTAGGTAACATATATTCTTGTTTCTATGTTGCCTAAGGTAAATATTATAAATTCAACTCAATTTACTTATAAACAAGTTGATGCTTTCAAGGTGACAACTGGCAGTGTACGAAAAAATTTATCATATTTTACTAAGGCAACATATATTCTTGTTTTTATGTTGCCTAAGGTAAAAATTATAAATTCAACCCAATTTACTTAGGCAACATAGAAACAAGGTGACAAGAATATATGTTGCCTAAGGTAAAAAAATTGATGCTACCAAGGTGACAACTGACATTGTACAAAAGATTTATCATAATTTACTTAGGCAACATATATTCATGTTTCTATGTTGCCTAAGCTTAAAAACATAATAACTCCTGGTAGTTGAAGGTTTTAAGATTGACATAAGTTTTAAGGTTGACAACTGGCATTGTACGATAAATCCATCACATTTACTTAGGCAACATATTATCTATTGTGCTTGTTGCTTTAGAGCTTTCTTAGGCAACATATATTCTTGTTTCTATGTTGCCTAAGATGAAAATCAAATATAAATATTTGTAGTTCCCCCATTTCCAACATCTAATCTTCATTTCCAACATTTTGTTTCTAAGGGCTTGGGACGTGATTTGGAGTATATTGCCGAGTTTTGTCTTCCAACAAACATTGTATTCATCATCAAAAGTCATTTAAAGATTATTAGGTAATTATTATCGTATTTTGTCTAATTTTGTAGTTATTTTATGTTTATCTCATGTAAATTTGGATTACTACGTGTCTAAAAATATCTATAGACTATATGTATGCATTTATTTTTCACATATAGATATGACAGAAAATGTGGACAAAAGTTGGATGAATTTAAAAAGATACGAGGAAAAATACATTTTTGGAATATATGCATTTCTGGAATTTGCTAAAAAGAATTCAGTTAGTTGGAATGGTTATTATAAATGCCCCTGCATAGACTGTGGCAACATGTTATTTCAAAATGAGGCAGATATAATTTTCCATTTGAAAGATGTTGGTATAATGAAAAATTATACTGTGTGGGATCAACACGGTGAAGTTACAAATATACCTACTGCATCACAACGAAGGTTGAATATAATACGCGATCGAGCGTCTTTGAGTCACAATGTCAATCCTATTGTAAATTTTGTGAAAGATGCATTTCCGTTTCATGAGCGGTACAATGATGGCGAATCAATCGCCCATGAGAGTACTCCAGTTTGTGATGTAGACATTGTTGCTTCTAAAGTCATTGATGCCTATGCGCGACTGCTAGCAGAAACGAATACTCCATTGTACGATGGTTGTACAGAAACTTCCTTGGGTGCCCTTCTAAGAGCAATTTCTCTAAAAGAAGAAACTGCAATTTCTATCAAGGCATTTGATAAGCATTTGGGGTTTCAAAAATCTTTATTGCCCACTCCAAACAAGTTTCCTAAATCATATACAGAGGCGAAAAAGATCCTTAAAGGCGTTGGGATGGGGTATGAGCTTATCCACGCATGTTTAAATGGTTGTTTCTTATACTATAAAGAGGGTGACATAGATGACCATTGCCCCGTATGTGGATTGCCAAGATATGACGATGTCGGTAACAAAGTACCGATGAAGACTGTTCGTTACTTTCCTCTGACACCGAGGTTGCAACGTTTGTACATGTCAAAATATACTGCAGATCATATGAGATGGCATGGTCAAAGGGAAACATCCCCGTATGATGATGTATTGAGACACACAGCTGATGGTGAAGCATGGAAAGATTTTGATAGGTAAATATTTTTAATATACTTGTTTGACACGCAATTTCTTTTAATATGGTTATGTTTTTTGACAAGTAAATGTTTTAAATAGATTTGTACTCTTTGACACATAATAGGTCATATCCTCAATTTGCGAGTGACCTCAGAAACGTTCATCTCGCTTTATCGACTGATGAGTTTAGTCCTTTCGGAGTTTCTGCTACTCCATATAGCCTTTGGCCAATTGTTGTGATTTCATACAACTTACCTCCTTCAATGTGCATGCAAAAGGAATTTAATATACTAACGATGTTGATATCCGGACCAAAATCTCCAAGGAAATATCTCAATTTGTTTATGAGACCACTGATTGATGAGCTCAAAATTCTTAGGAGACTGGTTTTAGGACATGAGATCGATACGGGGAAGAGTACTCTATGATGAAAGTTGCAGTGATGTGGACTATTAGTGATTTTCCAGGGTTGGGAATGTTAAGTGGTATTCAGACGAAAGGGTACAAGGCATGTCCCATATGTTTGGATGACACTGATGCTAAGTTCTCTCATGGTAGGATGTCATATATAGGGGCACGTAGATGGTTAGATATGAATCATGAATTTCGAATTCAAGGGAGAAAATTTAATGGAAAGGATGAGCTTCGACTAGCTCCACAAACTCGAACTGCAATTCAGGTTTATAGGGAAACTGTCTCCCATCGATACCCTCGTTTGAGTTTGGTTAAAGAGAAGAAATCGAAACAGGTTTGTAAATCTATTACATTCAAAACTTGTATTTACGTATCATATATGAAAATTAAACTAAGATTATTGTTAACATTAGGGGATGAATGAGCCAAAGTTGTGTTGGACTCACAAAAGCATCTTTTGGGAGCTCCCGTATTGGAAGAAATCTAGAGTGACACATGCCTTGGATGTCATGCACATCGAGAAGAATGTATGTGACAACATTCTTGGTACAGTTCTGGGGTTTGATGGAAAGTCTAAGGACGATCTTAAAGCCCGCAAAACTCTTGAAGATATGAAGATACGCAAGCATCTTTGGCCGAAGAAACCCCGAGGCACCTCGAGAAAAACAACGCTACCTTACGCCAATTACACGGTGAAGCCTTAATTTCGCCTCGTGGTGCTTGATCAAATTGTTGCGGTTCAGTATTCCAGTGGTTATGCTGGAAGCTTAAAGAACAAGGTAAATATAAATGACAAGAAGTTTTATGGTTTGAAGATTCATGACTGCCACGTGTTGCTTCAGCGCATTCTTCTCGTGGTCATACGACCGTACATGGCCAATCATGTCGCTGATGCAATTTGCGACTTATCTAGATTCTTTCAGATGTTGTGTACTCGAGAGTTGAAGAAGTCAGATGTTGAACAGATGCAAAAAGACATTATTTTGATTTTATGCAAGTTAAAAGTGATATTCCCTCCAGCTTTCTTCACAATCATGGTACATCTCTGCATCCATCTTCCTGAACAAGTCTTCCTAATCGGTCCTGTGCATTACACTTGGATGTTTCCTATAGAGAGGTATGTGCACACTATTGATATTTATAATTATATATATTGAATTTATATTAATTATTGATCTCATTCTCAGACAACTTGGAGAGTACAAGAAACATGTAACAAGCACACATTACCCCGAGGGTTGTATTGCAGAATGGTACCTTATGCATGAGTGTGTGACATTCATGAATCTTTATTTGTATACCGTACCGGTCGTACATAACAACACTTTGATGTTGGATTCATCTCGATGGAGCCTGTTGGTCCCGTAAGGGTCTACAAGAATAGAAACATTTTGTAGAAAGGAGGGGGATGAATACAAACACAGTATTTTCAAATTTAAAATATATATTGA